AAAATATTTTCAAAATTAAATTTCCAACATACACATTTTAAGGGTTTAAAATTTTGAAGTTAACTTTTATATGTAATTTTCATTGCAATTGAAAACTTGTTTAATATTTATAATGCCTGGCATAAATGGTGTTATTAGATATAAGCATACTTTGTAAGTGCATAAAATAACCATTTAACAATTTTCATTTGAGTTATAAAAGTTATTTCTAAATCGTGAAGTTAAAAAAGTTCTCCATCTCATTCTATTCACACATATATCTGCACAATAGAAAACAATACTTTCATGCAAGACATTTTTTAAATGAGACAGCATCATAACAATCAGAAAAAGGAGATTATCAATAAAGGAATTATTTAGCAATAAAGGAATTGTGTCTTCTTATGTCGCGACTTGTGTTATAATCTAATTTAATAAGATTGCTGCGAGACATAAATAACTGCGCATCTTACCACCAAAATCTATCACGGTTTGCAGTTGTACGTGCAATTATTGTTCAGTGCAAAACCACGCAGTATAACGGCTTTCTTGTAGCTCGCGTATCTACCGGGTGACAACTAATTCCCGGCGAACCCGGTTAAGCCTTTCTCGTTGGTTTCCCCGCGTAATTAGAAGGGACAAACTCTGAGGTACGCTAGGTTGTCTTCCGCTAATTTGCATTGGTTTAACAGCCAGTTTCAGACTGCTTGGCATCGCGTTACGTGGCCATCCTCTAATTTGGAAGGGCGACAACGAGAGTCGGAACGCCTTAACCCATCCTTTTTTTACGCGGATTGATCGTACTTCGCGAAATGCGACATAAATTATTTTTTTTTTTACTTCTCATAATATACCAGTATTATATATTTTATATTTCTTATCACTTTGTATTATATATAATATATTATAGGAATAATTTTGTTATACATAAAAAAAAAGAATAAAACTATATAAAGAACGTAATAAAATAGATATAAGAGATATTTTCTTAAAATTCTAATTAACTTATGAAGATAATCACGAAGGTCATAACCACAGATTTTCCAAAATGTTCATTTCAGGTATATTGGGTACATATCGATGTATATCGATGTATATATGATTAACGTGTGTATACTAATATTAATATGTGTCGTCTATTGTGTTGTTTGTTAATAAAGCCAATTACATAGCTTCGATTATGATAACATACGATTAATACTCAGCTAGTACTTGCTAATAGTGGCGATATCTCGATACAATACTCGATTCAATGATCGTTATCATTGATGGCGCAACTTGATATATTTATTACATGATTCAGATATTGTCATTTGTCTTCACATTCGAGAAATATCAGGTGGATTAAAAGTTACCAAAAATATTTTATATTTACCTGTATAAGTATGAGAAACGATTATCTTATAACTACTATCTTATAATCTCTAATGGATCGAAATAAAAATGTTTATCGTATTAATTAGACACAATTTTTCGTCATATTTATTTCCGATGATAAGAATAATTATCTATAAAGCCGGTGCAACTGATGTTCGAATTCTACGTATGCATATCGTTAATAGTGCCAATAATTAAGGAGATATAAAATTTAGAACTTTGCCATTTCTCTCTCTCCGGTTTTAAAACTGACATCTTCCTCTTCTTCCTGATTGGATATTTTCCCTACTGCACTTGCTTCATACTCTGTTCATGCAAACTTTATGTTGCAATAACGAAACGCCACTGGTAAAGTCAAAAATAAAATTGACGATTTATGGAAATTATACGATAAAACGGATGTGCGTGTACATTCAAAACAAGTCATATTTCTGAAAAATTGACCCATTTTTAAAAAGTATATTCAGATCTCAGAAAAATACACATCTCAGCTATACAAAGTATAACATAAAACCAGAAAATAAATTGGAGATAAAATAATAATTAACATATGCAATTTTAAATAAAGAACGAAAGGGAAAGACAAAAGTTATAAAATTAATTTTAATTATATTTGACGAAATGTAAAATGTGAGTTTAATAGAAATTAGAAGAGAATTATGTAATACGGTATAATTGATATAATTATTTAATTCAATCATATAATTTAATTTTTGTTGATGATGAAGAGAAAATATAATTTCTAAGGGTCTAATCAGTAAAATAGCTTATTTAGAAAAGCAGCATTTCGCTCATGAATGTTACGTGGTTGCTTGGTGATTTCAATTTAGATCTCCAGTCTAATTTATTCTATGCCATACACTTAAGAACTTTCTTCTACATCAGAGACGTACATTTTATTTCGTTTTCCACGAAACATCAGGGATTATCTTCGTATACGTGCATGATATTTTAAATTTTATATTAATGAAACTAGATTTACAAGATTTTATGAAGCATTTAGCAATTTATAATAGCCAATCTGTGTTTGTCCGTCAACACTTTAATTTTTTTAAAATCTTAAATCGTTAAAATATTTATATAATTTTTTTATATCGTTTGTTGTTATTTGCTTTAAGTATTATCCTGTTAATATCTCTGTACACTATTATTTTCTATTATTCCTTCTTAGGCATTTTCAGAACGAAATACGATAATATTACATTTATTATACGAGTATTTAAAAATTGTATTATGTCAATTTAATAATAATTTTGCTTTTAACACTAATATTAATATCTTCAAATAAAAATGATACTCTTTCATTCTAACATAAGGGTATTATATAATGATATTCTTACTTTCTGCAGAGATATAGAAATATAAATAAATATTAATACATTCCAACGCAACGAAATTAACCTCATTTGTGTGCAATGAGTCGCAAATTATTATTCTCACTCGATAATCCATAATTATTCATTACGCTCATGCAACTGTAAATAGTAATTATTAATTTAGCCCAGCGGCAGCTTTTTGTGCACATTCGACCAAATGACACTTTGCATTTGTTGAAATTATTGGTCAATCCAGGGAGAAGAGGATGCCTTCAACAATAATATTTGTAGCAAACAAAATATGTATTATATATTATATGAAATTAGCAGGAGCACTAAAATTTTTTATAATTACTCTTTGTATATTTAATGGACTGAGAATACTTCCAAATAAATTAATTTAAAAATAAATAAATAATTTTTTTAAATTAATAAACAAAACTATTATAATAATAAATATTAATAATTAATATAAAGAGATTTGCTAAGCAAAACCACAATTTGATACAGATGTAATGATACATACAGGTATATATATATATATATATATATGTGGATTATAATGAACGCTTTGCATAAATGAGAAACGTATTTAATTGTGCGTACTAAATTGCGTGTAATTAAAATACGAATGAACTTATAAAAGACGATAGCACACTTCCTCTCACTAACACATTATATTCATTCGTTATGAAAATTAAATGTCTGGAGAGAACGTAATATATAAAGTGTTAGAGATTAACAAATTTCATATACGTATTATTTCAATAGAAAAAAGCACCCTTTGAATTTATATGAAATTACTCGATATGACTGTGATATATAATTTTGATATAGATGACACGCGGAAAATTACAATTTCCATAGGATTAAAAAAAATTGGCGATAAATTATTCATGGAAAGAATTGACGATTCGGGGATGAGAGTAAATCGCGCACGGATCTTGATTCTATTGATTCATTGCGTGTGACATCACCTGACGATGGACCACGAGGGACAGGCGTCTCTAATTAACCCAGCATACTATAGATGCAGATATTATAGCTGCGCTGTATCCACGTGTTAATCGGATTGCCCCATGCGTGCGGCGGGTTACTACTCGTGAGTCTCGTGATAGATTCGAGATTTCGAATTATGAATTCCCTTCTCATCCGCGCGGGCGCGTCAATCCTCCCCTATTATCACGGTCCTCTACTTTACGTTTCAAATTTCTCTTAGAAATTAATATTCCGACTAGGTTCGTTAATGACGTACCGAAACAAGCAGTATACAGTATATAGAGAGCCGCGATCAATGTCCGCAATTCTAAAGGCGTCGTGACGAATTTGACACGATCTGTCGATAATTCACGCTATCGAAATGTGTCTCTCGATATTAAAAAGAAATAATAATAATAAACGAATAAATAAATAAATAAACGAAAAGAACGTGTGTATGAAAAATTGTCTATTTCATTCGCGGTCTCCGTTGAAGATTAAAAAAGATGAACAATTAAACGAAAAGGGCCTCGCGCAAAAACGTCAACGCGCGCGCGGCGTGGCGCGTCGCGTCGCACAACGCCTTCGTTTTCGTTTTAATTATGACTATTCAGAGGCGCTCTGTGACCGGCATGGAAAACGTGCGGTGCGTTCGTCTAGCGTTATGCCGGACGCTACACAATAAAAGCCCGCGCCGTTCCGCGTCTGAAGCGCGAGCTCTCGCGTTCGCGCGCGCGCGATTAAAAAGTGCAAAAATATGAATGCGCCGTGGCGCATTCCGCCGAGCGCGACGGGACTTTTTTTTTTTCGACGACCAACACACGGCCGGCAACGGTCTACCTTTCCGAGAGGTAGCGTCGCGCACGCGGTTGTTCCTCATCCCTTATTTTGTTCGCGCGCGGTTTACATTCGCGACGCTTCTCTCTCTCCGGCTTTAAATATGCAACTCGCGCGGCGGAAGCGTCGCAACGGCGGACGATGCTGTTGTTGATTCGCGAATTAGGCGAGCACGTGTTAAAACTGAAGAGATCAGAGACGTACGGGTGTATAAACGCGGCCTGCCTACGAGAGAATAGCGCGACTCGCAGGTTTATTGAAAATTCAAACGACAGCGGAGAAGAAAAGAAGGCTATGGGTCAAGCGAGGAAAAATATATAAGTTTCGAAAAATAAGCTGAAAAGCACATTGGGTATATAGTTTGAAATATTGTATAATTAATTCGTCGAATATTATTTCAGATCGCGGTATCTCTTTTCAACCTCGATGGATGGGTTCAATTAAAGTAAATTAATAATATGATATACGATATTAATATAATACCTGCAATGGAGTAAAGTTCGAGATATTCACCTGTCATAGTAGTAGTCCCTGAAACAATAAAAATAATTTATATTAGGCAAATAATCAGCAATAAAAATTATTATTATAATTATCATCAACGCAGAGTACATAATATTTTCTTAATTAGTGTTCATTAAAAATGCAGCAATTTTATTCATATAATATATTATAGGATGAGGCATTTCGCTCTACGCCGCAGATTTTGTGTTATTTTGAGCGCATATGACAATTAAATGGATATAATATTATTTAATAACAATCACGTAATTTTAGCGACGAAATATAGGCGTGAAAAACATTCACAAATTTACATCGACCAAAATATTCGAAAATATCATCCTGTAGATTATATATAATATATATGTATATATCAATATATATACATATATATCGCAGTCCAAATCGATTGACGATTACCAGAGCGTGTAATTTGAACTAACAGGGTTCTCCAAAAGAGAAATAATGTTTAATATTAGTTTATGATATGAATTTCTCCCTCTCAGTTTTGTGATTTAACTTATTATATCTATTAAATTATATGACATTGAAAAATAAATAAAGAAGTAAACAATGTTAGCTTTAAAGTGCTACAATTTTGTAAAAGTTAGAATATCTCATTAAAATGAAAATAATTTAACTAAATTTGTTTAATATAATAATCGTTCTTTAGCGTTTGTTCATTAATACATACATGTAGATTGTTTTGTGATTTATATGCACATGTTGCAAGTCTTTTGTAAAAATGCAACTCTTTTATAAACAATTTAACCTTTTTGCAAAACGTTATCGTTTTGTAAAAAAAAAGAGAAAAATCGAAATCCAAATAAAAATAGAAAATATTAGTTGCTTTGTAATATTCCTGTCATTTTTTCCATTTTTGTTGTGTAAAAAATGTATTTTGCAAAAAAAAAAAAAAAAAAAAAAACTTTGTAGGTACAATCTTCATTTCTGTAATACTTGATTTTATATATGCCGGATGAGGCGTTATAAATAAAGTTTCTATAATATATGAATGTATATATCCGCACGAATTCGCGAGATTTTCCGACAAACGTTCCAAAGATTTTCAGACATGGTGCCCGCGGAGAGCCGACAAAACGAATCTCCTGGTAATCGAATCGCGTCGAACTTTAATCGAATTCGTCCTACGAGAAGCGTTTCGGTCAATAAATGCTCCATTAGCTGCAGTTTAAACGTGCGATTTCTCGTGACAAAAAGGACTAAGCGGCGAACTTTCCACTGCGAAACACTGATAAAATGGGTGCGTTTTAACGGGAAATTGCCAATTACTTCGATCGCAATGTCAATATGGGCAATACGCAGATTCACCACTGTTTCTGAAACGAAGATTTTTTTTCAAACCTAATAATTCCGATAATTCTTTATTAATTTTGCGATTAATTTGAGAGAACAATATTGTATTAATTTTCCTTTTTAATTTTCTGAAAATATTTAAATGCGTTAGTTGATAATTTTAAATCATCAAAAGAGGATGGTACTGTATTCTATATGTATTTTCAGTGATCCTATTTTATTATGGTTTCTCATTTTATCCGCGATATTTTGCCGATTTACCTATGTCTTCCTTTAACTGCTCATATATATTACAAGGTAATCCTTCCGGCTGATAACGTAACGTTAAGTAGCGAAAGAGAAAAGCACAGGAAACGAATAAATTTACACAGGGAAACGAATAAAAAAAAAATGTTATTAGATACCAAGCTCTGTATTGACATTTTTATTTTGGCAAAATTTAACAATGATAATCACAGAAATAAAATTGTTGTATCGACTAATCAAATACGCGAATATTTAATGTAGGTATTCAAAATAATGAATAATTGAAATATTCATCACAGATCTAATTCTTCCTTGCTAATTTTGATATTTTTAAAAATATATCTTACATTTTACACATATGAAAGACAATTAATTATGGTATGCATGCATGCAAAACATGCCTGATTTTCTATTTATATTTTTTTGCACAAGAGAGAAATGTATACAGTTTAACTTACACGTACATTTATTTTCCGTCGCGCTTTCCCATATAATCTAATAAAAAAAGGAGAAGAAATAAAAAAGGTGAGAGAATAATTACGGCCTTTTATGAACCGCGATTCTAGTGAAATGCACGGAGGACGTTCGTCACAGAACGCTTTCACGGCACGTCACATCGGGAAAATAGTTGGCGAAATGGCCGAAAATCGATCACACACGAAAATCGAAAAGCGGAGGACACGTCCAAAACACGCGTGCTGCAGAATGAAAAGGACATCGTCCTAAACGGTCGCGTGTATCGAAAAATGGCGCCGCAATTAGGATGTCGGACACCCGGCTATTGTTATTTAAAATGTCTACAGTTTGACATTCTCGTTTTTTTTTATTTATTCAGTTATTCGTTGTCGGCGGGCAACTTTTCGTCGATCACGTACCGACATCTGCTCTCGTTCCATTTTTTATTAAACCGTTTAGCGTTTGACGAATTTAGTAAATATTATGTGTGTCAGCGACAATAGTTTCAAATCTGTTTAAACATTGCATGGTGGAAAATCGTGAATAAAATCACCAATAATGCGAAATAAAAATTCAAAAACAACAAGAAAAATCAGTTTAAAATTTAAAATTTTAATAATGAGAAGAAAGAAAAAGAGAAAGGAAAAAAAGCCTAAAAAGATTATTTGTGACAATAGTTACAGAAATTGCATAAATATTAAAAAATGAAAAAGTTATTTTATTTTACCTCACACTCTTCTCTTTTATTATGCTTTTTTTCTGTTATATGAATCCGTTGATTATATCTGTTAATTTACAGTTCATTATAATTTCAAGAGTATACTTTAAAATATAATTTCTGCTTTTAATATACGTAATTTATTGACAAACATTTATATTCCATTATTTTATTCTCGATGATTTATTAAATATTTTCATATTGCTACTTTCTTTTAATATTTATATGTTGATACTTGCATTTCAGTGTATCTCATTTAAGCCGCATATATTTCCAAGTTATACATACCGCTACTTTTTAAAAATTAATTCGTTAACAGCCGTATACAGTTGCAGCTCTGCGCTCGGAGATTGCTATTATTGTTATTGTCATTATTATGATTATTAATGCGATGCGCGCCTTCGTAACAATTATCAGTGGTGCGTATCCGCACAAATTGCATTTATTACAGGAATTATTTACAACGCATGATTCGCGCATCGGAAAGAGCAGGTCGGGAAGGGAGAAGGAAATGCAGACCGATAAAGTATGCAATATTTTTGCGAATAACCGTTAAACCATCAGTACGTTTTTATGGTAGCCATTTGTGCGAACTCTACTTTTCTGCCTCTCTGCCTTCTCTCCCGTTCGCTAATTTCTCCCGCCGAAATTATCACCGTTATTTACACTATTCATGTTAGTTGTAGCGCCAGTTGACAACGGAAAGCGTATTTGCGGCGAACTAAATATTCCCGAGAGATTATGAAACGCAGAAAACGGACGCATACACACACACACACACACGTGTGTGTACACCTGCGTATACACTCTCTTTTCATATATACATTTGTTTAAATAAATATTTTCTTTGGCGAAAAAAACTCCACATGCATTTTATATTTGAATAGGTTTCCAGTGTGTGTGTACAGGATTAATTCTAAATTGGTTCCGAATTCGAAATTAAGCCAAGATGAAGCTAAAAAAAGAGTAAACGTGCGTAAAAGTAATGATCGAGCGATATAAAATAACACAGAAGTTTAATGCAAATATAATTTCCTCGACTTTGTAAGATTAATTATATTCTATAAAAGATATATTAGCAACTATCGTTGCGTTCAATTTTCAATGGTATTTTATTATATAATGCCTTCTTTTATTTTTAAATCCTCTTGAGGAGGAAACTCGAGTCTTAAATATTTTTAATTAATTACATAAAGTTGCGCAATTATTTACGATACGTATAAGGGAAGAAAAGGGAGAGAGAAAGCGGTTTACCTATCGATTCCTCAATTTCCAACGATGCAATTCCCGTTGAAGCAGTCAAAGCTGACACCTTTCGATTCTCCATGATACGATTGACTCGTTATCGTAGCGTTATTGGCGAGCGAACAAAAGAGCGCCGATGAAAGGCGCCGCGACGCCGACCGCGAAGAACAATGGCGGAAGTCGGAGAGAAAGCCAGAAGGAAAAAAGATCGGGAAATTCAATGGCGATAAACGAGATCGCGAGACCGGCGCGTCAATTTTCTTTATTTTCAGCTGAAGAAGTCGACGAAATTATGAAATCGTCACATATCAAATTGTTACATATATATGTTGGCTCTTTGTATATTTTATATTTTATACTTGCAAGGTGTTGTGTAACAATTATATTTAATGATCTCAGAGAATCTCTACACAAAAAGTTATAATGTAATATAATATATATATATATACACGAACATAAAATACATGAAAAATTAATTTAAATCTTGTTGGTAAAATAATAATATAATATAAAGGCTATCTAGTTTTTAAAAAACAGATAAAAATGACTCTTTTCTATATAAATTCATGCAATAATAATGCTGGAAGGATAATTTTAATTTCAGGTAATGCGAGAAATTAATGGCGCAATTCGATAGCGTCAAAGTGATATAACTTGTGGAAAGCCAAGTGAATATCGCTCAAGAGAGATCGCAATTACCACAGCTTAATTAACTTCCGACGCAACATTAGTGAATCAAGAGGGCGATTAATCGATATTCAATTTCGCATAACGCGCGTTGTTTGGCCATGACATCGTGACCCTCGATCCATTCATAGATTGATATTGTAAGGATGATAATGAACATCAGTAATGATGATGATGATAATGATAATAATTATGAAACACAATCAAAGTCTTGACGTGAATTAGTTTTAGAATTTATAAAGGATTATTATGTGTAGAATCAAAATATAATAATAATTACATATAATCAATGAGGAAATCTTATAGAATTTTATGATAATTAAAGTTACTTGTAATGATATAGTGTAAATGGCGATGGGAT